AAAAATTTCTTGAGCAATACTCCACAAGCACAGGCAACCAAAGCAAAAATGTACAAATGGGGTCACATCAAGTTTAAAAGCTTCTGCACAGGAAAGGAAATAATCAACAAAGTTAAAAAACAACCCACAGAATGGAAGAAAATATTTGCAAATTACCCATCTAACAAGAGATTAATAACCAGAATATATAAGGACCTCAAACATCTTTATAGAAAAAAATCTAATAATCCAATCAAAGATGGACAAGAGATTTGAATAGACATCCCTCAAAAGAAGATACATAAAAGACAAACAGGCATGTGAAAAGGTGCTCAACATCATTGATCATCAGAGAAATGCAAATCAAAACTACAATGAGATATCATCTCACCCCAATTAAAATGGCTTTTATCTAAAAGACAGGCAATAATGAATGCTGACAAGGATGTAGAGAAAAAGGAGCCCTCATACACTGTTGGTGGGAATTTAAATTAGTATGACCACTGTGGGGAACAGTTTGGAGGTTCCTCAAAACACTAAAAATAGAGGTATTATAGAATCCAGCAATCCCACTGCTGGGTACACCCCCAAAAGAAAGGAAATCAGTATATTGAAGAGGTATCTGCACTACCATGTTTGTTGCAGCACTGTTCACAATAGCTAAGATTTGAAAGCAACCTAAGTATCCATCAACAGATGAATGGATAAAGAAAACATGGTACATATACACAATGGAATACTATTCAGTCATTAAAAAGAATAAGATGCTGTCATTTGCAACAGTGTGGATGGAACAGGAAGTCATTATGTTAAGTGAAATAAGCCAGCACAGAAAGACAAACATCACATGTTCTCACTGATTTGTGGTTCTCTAAAACTCAAAACAATTGAATTTCTGGACATAGAGAGTAGAATGATGGTTACCAGAGGGTGGGAAAGGCAGTGGGGATGTAGGGGTATGTGGGAATGGTTAATGGGTACCAAAAAAAAAAAGAATTAATAAAACCTACTATTTGATAGCACAACAGAGTAACTATAGTTAATAATAACCTAATTGTACATTTTAAAACAACTAAAAGAATGAATTGGATTGTTTATAACACAAAGGGTTAATGCCTAAGGGGATAGATACCCCATTCTCCATGATATGATTATTACATATTGCATGCCTGTATCAAAACCTCTCATGTACCCCATAAATATATACACCTACTGTGTACCCAGAAAATTTATTTAAAAAAACAAAATAATAAATAATTTTTAAAAATAAAATAAAATACAATCATAAAGACTTTAACAATGTAAAGAAGAGTAAAATCAGTGAGGACTGCTGTAATCCAGGAATCTGGAAGAGCAACAGCACAAAAGAATAAAAGGAAAGATGGAAATAAAAATAAATAAATTAATTAAATTAAATTAAATTAAAATACAATCAATTTCTGTACCCCCTTGGCCTTGGTAATTTAAAACACACTCTGAGGAAACAGTTCTCTATTTTTATCTATTATGTTTGGACAGCAGGAAAGTTAATTTCCATAAAATAGAGTAAATCTGGTGAAAAGTCTTTAGTGTATTTAATCTAAATGGAATAGTTTCTATTTATCATTTTTTTCTAGGGTATATTCTTCCAAACACAAGAAATTTTAGTGCAAATGCTTTGAGGGCTTAATCTTATATGGAGGCAATTTAATAGAGTTTCAGGAATCTCTGTAAAAAATCTAGAGGCACATAGAAATTCTGGTATTTGGTTGATTTTTAAGTTTGAAAATAAATACAACTGTTTTTCTAAATTTTCGTGTCTTTTTCCCAGTGGGTTTTTTACATGTATCTGAAAGGGCTTCTGAGAGTTACTTTTTTTTTTTTTTTTTTTTTTGCCTTTGAGTTTCATTGATGATGCTTTTTAGTCTCTTATAGGTCTTTCTGTGAATGAGAAAAGTTAGAATTTTGATTTCTTTTGTAAGCCTCTTCTTTCCACAAATACCATGACTGCTTTCTGGCCAAAATGGGAAATTCCCAGATTTTTCTCTTAGATATTTTGGGACATCCTGCCCTCAGGAAAAAGAAGGAAAACAAACCACTAGTTTGCGGGTAATTTCTGGTCACCAATTCCAAATTATATCGAGTGATACCAGAGTAGTTTAATATAAGCTAAACAGAGATGTCATTTCTTCTTGGCCATTCAACTGAAGACCCCACTCTGTGGGGTCTAACCTAAAAGAGTAATCTGATTTTTCTCCGGTACACATGGTAAGGGTTAACAGACAGGCAAAAAATATAGTCAGACTCATCTGATAGTCTCTACCAGAAAATACAAAGCATTCCTGAGCTCAAGTGTGGAGCAATGGTGTCTTTGGGCAGTAGATATGGAGAAAAATCTGAAAGTACAGCCATGTGCGAATTCAGCCCACGTCCTATATTCCGCCTCCATTCTTCCTAGGATCTTACAAACAATGCCAAATTGTTTCACAAGAATGACCAGACTCAAAAGTTTTAAACAAGTGTGCCATTTATTAGAACTGCTTTTCAGGAAGAAAAGAGAACATCCATCAGCCAGGGACTGGGAACCACTTCACTCATTGCTTAATAAAATTACAAGCTTTATTTTATAACTTAACACACCCCAAAAATCCCTAAAATTTGTCTTGATGAGCACTGGAGAAAGTGAAACTTGAGGAGAATAAACGAGAGAAACTGATGCTCTGCTGGGGAGAAGGTGGACCTTATAAAATAGCAAACTTCAAAGATGATATTTGATGGGAGCACTAGTAACAATCAAAATAAATATGGACAAATGTACATTTTTAAACAAAGGAAATCACAATTACTTGTTGAGAAGAACAACATGAAGATCCCTAAAAGAATAAAAATGTACCTTTGAGGGAATAAAACTTTAAGTATTTCTTAATTAGTTGAATTTTTTCGATTTAAGTATAGCAAATCTTCTACTTTTAATTATGCAAATGTTGATTTCATCAGTAAACTAAGATCAATTGGAGAATTGAAACTAAAAACACATTTTAATGATTTGGATGTGGTGACCTGAGATAGATTAGAGAAACAAGAATGATTCCCTAGTTTATGAATTAAGCAACAAGACAAGTTGTGGGTGCGAATTACCGAGGATAGGATGATGACAGAAAAGCTGAGTAAACAGATTTGGAGTTACTTTTTGGGACATTTTGAGCCTGAAATGGGCTGAGTAATCCAAGAGAATAGAACAAACATGTAATTCAATATGTAAGTCAGAGAACGAGACAAATCCTGCTGACTTCATATTCGTGTTTCTTTCTCAAATACACGGGGAGCCAGGGAAATGGCAATCTGCACCTTAAACCTGAAATTCACAACAACTTTTCTTCTCCAAATACCTCCAAAGGAGAAAGTCTAGAAACATTATATCTCAACTATGCTACTGAACCCAACGCCAATACTTTCTTCCAATTTTTAAAAACTTTTTTCATTTCTTTTTTTTGGGGGGGGGGGGACAGAGTCTCACTCCATCACCCAGGCTGGAGTGCAGTGGCACCATCTCAGCTCACTGTAACCTCTGCCTCCCAAGTTCAAGTGATTCTCACGCCTCAGCCTCCTGTAAAATTTGTTTCCTTTTCATGCTACTTAGGCCAGCAAATTTATGCATTCCTCCTTGAAATCTGGCTTCTGTCAAAACCCCACCCTCTGCTAACAAACATCTGTAAATGTCAATGAAAATCTCTAATATATGAACATTAAAGTTTCACAGCGGGTTTTTAAGCTTCATGCAAATTAAAAGTCACACATATAAATTGGTCATTTAGTGCACGGCCTTGGATCCATTGGTTTGGGCTGGGATTGTCATTGATCTAAGAAACAATGAGCAAATGCCAGCAAAGTATATATGAAAAAAAAAAAAATAGAGACAGAAAGTAGTGAAAATGTCAAAGAAATATAGGGCAGATGGCAGAAGAAGAAACTCCAAAAATGACTAAGAAACAACACCCAGAGACCAGAAGCCAAGGCAAAAAAAAAGAGGGGGTTTCAAAGGATTGAGAAATGTTGTAAAACACTAGCTAAAGGCAAAGCAGATGGTAAAATGTAAAGAATGCTTCCATTTTCAACAAGAAAGGCACTGGCAACCAAATGCAACGTCATTTCAGTGGAGTGATGGCACAAAAACCAGATTTCTCTTAGTTGAGGTAAAATTGGGACTCTAGAACTTGGAGAACTTAGTTGGGAACACTAGCTCTAGAAGTCTGGATCCAAACAGAGGGAGAAATGAGACACTGGCCATAAAAGAGGAGTATATATAACACAATGAAGATGTCTTAGCATTTCAAGTACTAGTTGTGAACTAAGTTTGAACTTGGGGGACAATATTCCTCAATTCTCAGGAATGGATGGACATCAAGCACAGTGTCCGGCCTCTATGCAAAATCCCTTTCCAGCACCATAACCATTAACCTCTGTCCCACATCCAGAAATGGTCCTCCAGCCTCAAAGCAGGAAGAATGCCCAGTGACAAGGCTGTTTATTCCACTTTCCACTTAGAAAATTTTACCCTAGTTTGTCCAACAAATCTCTATACTCACTTTCATCCCTCTGTCTTGTTCTGGTTCTTCCTGGGGACTCATCGTTATGGCAAACATACCAGGTTAGTTCTCTGGATATCAAACGCAGCTCAATTGTCTCTATCCTCAGCCTACAAGGTTTACTTGGAGGACTTGATCCCTCCACATGTTCACAGGAGCATCCAGACTCAATACAGTTGTCATCTTCCCTCTGCAGCCACCAGAATGGTGTCAAAACAGAACAGAAATGTGACCTTGTCCTTTCTCGGCACACCTGTATTGAGTGACGCCACTATCTTACTGGCTTTATTAGCCAGTGCCCATTCCTATACTCCATAGCTTCCCAACTCTCAGCTTAATCTCTCCAGACCAATGATGACTACCCACAGACAAAAGACACACACACAAGAAGGAATGCATTTTTTATAGGGAAAGCATTCCAGAATGGAGGAGAAGTTACTACAGAGGAGGTGACATTGGTGATATTCAAATGTGAGAGTAGCTTGAACTGTTTGCAACTGACAAGTTGGAGTTAGAGTCGTAATTCTCCTTCACATTCTTAGAACTGGTTATTTTCATAGAAAGTTTCAGGCAGCACTTTTGATCATTTGGGCAGGTTAAGTATTGGATTTCATATTCTCTGCAGGTGTTTCTGCACATGCCTTGGTAAAGCTCACATGGATTCCAAGGCTCTCGGCTCTTGCCATTGTGGGATCTGAACAGGCCACCTGGGAAAGACATAGCCATGTTTAGTTTCCATGCAGCAGTGACAATAGGGTGACAAAGCATGATTTAAAGGAACACGCCCTAAGAATATTAAGGGTACAAGATCTGGAATCAAAACTACCTAAATTCAAATCTGGGCTCTGCCATTTACCATCTCTCCCTCCTCAAGCAAGTTACTTCAGCTCTCCAGTCTTCTGTTGCATCATCTTCACAATGAGCAAAAAAATAGAGCCAAGTTCCTAAGGTTTTAGTAATGACTAGGTTAGCGTATATAGTATTTTCAGAAAAGCATCTGGCACATAACAAGTAATTGAATATTAGATGGTGTTGTTGATATGAAAGTCTTCTCCTGAGAGTATGAAGTTTCAAAGAATGCCACTGCGAGCACATATGTCCCAAGTGCCTGCAGAGATCTGTGCCCCTCACACACAGCTAATCAGAGGCAGCCAGGATCTACTCTGAGATAGCACACAAATATTTAAGCCAGTGTGCATGCATGCCTTTATCCTCTGAAACATAGGCGCAAACAAGTACTACACTTGTCTCTCTTTGTACATTGGACTTACAGAAACAGGTACTGTGCATACATGGGCAGCATACTAGCATATACACAGACCCATGTATACAACCCACTTTATTCACAGATCCACATTCTCACATAAATTGAGCATGTGTGCTCACTGTACAAACCTCCACCATGCACTTTCCACATATTGCTAATCCAGGTGTGTACATGAGTGAACATAAGCTCTTTGCCTGAAAATACCCCAGTGACAAAGTTCCTGACACTTAATCAGCATTATATAAATATTAGTCATCAATAGTATTACTTACCTATTTAATGTTCTACAGACAAAGGAGCAATTAGAAAGAAATATTAACAATCGCTACCATGTACTGTGGTATGGTCCAGCATCAACCACGTACAGGCATTTTGCAAATGATAGCTCACTGAACCTCATAAAAACCTGCTGTTATCTTCACTCTTTGATGAAGACACTGAGGCTCAAAGAGATGCTTTGTTTTGTCTGCATTCTCATAGCTTATACTTGATCAAACCAGTATTCAATTTCTGGTCTACATGACATCAAGCCCATGCTCTTTTCTCTCTGTGTCACATTGCCTCTCTGTGATAGGGTTTCCAGGAGAAAATGGCATCATCCTTCATCATGTCTACACACATTCAAGGACCTTTTCAACCATCCCCCTGCGCCCTCATTCCACACCCATTTATGAACACTCACTCCGTGTCAGGCCATGGACTCAGTGCTAAGTAGATAGAGGTCTCCAATTAATCAAATGTATTCACTATTAACATTAATGAAAATGGGACAAAGCAAGTATAATATTTCTTGCAGGGAAAAAAATGAATACTTTGCTAATTTTTAGATTAGAAAAAGTAAAATGCCCAATTTTAGGTGAAGTTGGAGAATGGGAAGAGAAATAAAGAAGAGGGAAATGCCTCCATGGCAGATATCCCATAACATTTGGGTACTGGTGTGTGTATAAACTGCCCTAGGAATCCAGAGAGGGATCTCAACTGCTCCAACACCAACCAGCCTGCTGGTCAACCAGAGGAAGGAGGTTGAAAATGATGCTGATTCATCCATGCTCCAGCACGATGACATCACTGTGTTTCCCACCTTAATCTTCACCCTTATCATGGGACCTGCATGCTCTCTCTCTCTCAGCACCATTATACTTATGGGAGAAGAAGATCTGCAGAGGTCCTCCCCCAAGTGACATCCACACTGTTCTGGCTAACACTTGACCTCTAGGACTTTTCCTTTCTACCAAACACACTGGAGGGCAGTTGGAGACCCAAGAGCTCCTGTCTGCAGTCACTGGAGGGATGGATAGAAACATAGATACCAAGAATAAGCAATGGGGAAACTGCCTTTTCCTCATTCTCTCCACATGGAAAGTGGGTCAAGGCCAGCCCAAGAGGGTTCTGCCTACAGTGACTCAATAAATTTTTAAAATAAAAATAAAGATTTTTGTCATAGATAGTTACAGTTTCTTACTCCTACTTTTCTAACCTTAGATCGCCCTGCATCATCACAAATTTTGACACCCACATCAAATTAATGTCAACTTTGATAATCTCTCCATCTTCCAACTGAAGTCAGAGAGGACCAACTTTTGCATTTCAGCATATAGTCTCTGGCCCTCTGCACAATGCTATATTTTAACTCTCTGGACTCCGTCTCTCCATGTCAGAAAATGGGAATGGGAGAGTTTGCACCAAATCAGGAAGTCTCCACTGTGTTTGTGAAAAAGGAAGTTAATAAGATGTCATACTTCAAAATAACCTGGGAAATTTTTAAGTATATTCATACCAAGTCTCTAGAATTTCTGATTCAGTATATCTAAGGAGATGCCAGAGCAAGGGTGCTTTGTAAGAGTTCCCCGGAAAATACTAATGGGCTCCTGTTCGCAGCAAAAGCCACAATTCTGCCTGGCCTTCTCACATTCAGCTATAGACATGGCCCAGCTCATGTTTCCCCACTGGAAGTGTTTCAAAAGCAAATTAAAATGTCTTAAGTCAAAAAACAAAAGATACGCTCTGGACCTTTTTAAAAATTCCATTCCGAGTCAAAATCAATGTGATATATTATTTCTCTGCCTGCTGTGCAACCAAACATGATCCTCTCCCATCTAATTTCTAAGGTTCTTTCTACTCATATACATTTATTAGCCATGATTCATTACATGTTCATTCATTCAATAAGAATTTGCTAAAGCCTACTCTATTCAACACACTCAGCTCAACATCAGAAATGTGTAGATTTAAAAGACAAGATCTTGGCTTTCAAACAGTTTAATTTCATATGCATACATTTGGGAAGATGAAAGGAAAAATTTGTTTGGATTGCCCTAATAGAAGAGGTTGTCCAGAACTGTTCCTGCTCATAAATTCTGCCAAGTAAAATTACTCAATAATTATTAAGGAAGCTACACTATGTACAACTCTTGAAGCATAGAGTGCTGTCTTTGTTTTTGTTGTTGTTGCTTCTTGCAAACCCACCTGTGGTTTCTACCACCATTAGAAATGAGAACTGAGCTTTACTGAGCATGAGAACAAGTGTCTCTCGAACAAGGGGATAAAAGAAGCTGAGAAATAAGGAGGAGAATGTGAAATAGAAGGAATACGGGAAAAGAAAGGAGGAAAGGAAGAAGAAAAACAGAGGGAGAAAAAAGGGGAAGAGTAGGAGAAACCTCTAGATCAGATGAATCTGAACTCACTGTCAAGAAAGGAAGAACAATCTTGGTTTTCAATAGAAGAACTGAAACTGCTGCCATATCTCTCTGTATATGCCAAGATATGACAGGAGACACTTCCGAACATTCCAGTCTCCTGATTTCCTCTATCCTAGCCATCCACAGTCACATCTGTTATTCTTCAGTGCCCTTGAAAATCACACTTAAGAAACTTTCTTCAGAATTTGAAAACAATACTGGACATTTTTCATCCAATGTTTATTCTCCCCTTTTCTTTATTTAAACCGCTTTGTTGAAGTATGATTGGCACACAAAAAGCTATACATATTTAATTTATACATTTTGATGAGTTTGGAGATAAGCATACATTACACCCACAAAACCATCATCACAATCTATGCCATAAACCTATTCACCCCTAAAAGTTTTCTCCCACTATCTTATTTATTATTTTTTGTATATCAAATCTTATTTTAGAACACTTAACTAAAATCCACTCCCTTAGTAATTTTTGAAATGTCCATCACAGTACTGTTAACTATAGGAACTGTGTTGTACAGTAGATTTCTAGGACATATTCTTGAGAGTATAGTGTCTTCAATAAATGTATTGGGAAAACTAGATACCTACATGCAAAATAATAAAATTGGATATTTATCTTACACCATACACAGAAACAAATTCAAAATGGATTAAAGATTTAAATCTAAGACCATAAAACTCTTAGAAGAAAACATAGAGAAAAACTTCTTGACATTGGCCTTGGGAAGGATTTTCTGAATATGACACCAAAAGCACAGGCAACAAAAGCAAAAATAAACAAGTGGATTGCAGCAATCTAAAAAGTTTCTAAACAGCAAAGGAAACAGTCTACAAAATGAAGACACAACCTACAGAATGGGAGAAAATATTTGCAAACCATATATCTGAGAAAGAGTCAATATTCTCCTTATTTCAATAGCCATAGCCCTGCTGTGATGAATCCAACTGTCTTACTCAAGCTTAATCACCCCTAAACCCAGGCTAAATCAATCCCTGCCCAGATAAACCTCACATACCCACAACTGAATAAGATACCCACTTTAGGCAAACACTAACTACAACTCAAGCCGTATCTCTTCTAATAACCACCCAAAGCCCAGTTGCAAAACATACAAACATAACACTATCCAAGCCACCCAACCCCAATTCACAGCATCAATCTAAAACACAGCCCAACTACAAATCTCTCTATACCCCATCTTCCACTTGCACCAACTCTACCCCCAGCTCCATTCAAGAAAAAATACCATCTCCTCTCTACACTACACCAAAACATCTGTTCAGCCCAACCTATAAATACAATTATTCACCCCATGCTCATCCCCACTCACTTTTTGGATATTACCCTATCTCTAAGGTCTTACAACCTCCCCACCTCAACTCCCTATCCAACTCCAAACTGCTATACTCCTCCTACGGCTCCTCAACTTGCACACAGTCTCTCACCTAACTCATGAATTAAGCCCCCACCCAACGACAGCACTACCTAAAATGTTCCATGCTTAGACTGTCCACTATGTCAAGAACAACAATCTCTTAAATGTGTCTTGGCAAAGCAGAACCAGAGGAGATCTTTACATGAAATTAACCTTGGGAGTAACATCTGTGACCCATCTGAGACCAGAAAAGGCTTTAGGTGTTGCCCACTATATGTGAGTACAAGTCACTGCAGAGGTCACCAAGATACCAGTACCACATGCAAGACCCCAGAACCTTTGAGAGAGGCCTGAGTTACCTGGAGTCTTTTGAGCCAGGATCATAAGGATGACAATGGTCATTAAACAGGGCTTCATGACTGACATGTTCCAACAGAATGAAAGGCTGTGTTGCAGGTGACCGAACAGAGATCATTGTAGCAGAGCAGTAGCCCACCTTTATTAGTTTTGGAAATGGATCAGG